AATTGTCTATACGTAGCGAGATTTACAATTGTACATTCAAAAATAAAATAAAGCTTCCATTATTGTTATTATTTGCCTACTAAGCCTACTCAAAACAACCAGACGTGAGTTTGACTAATAGTCGCGGGTCGCGTGTCGCGGGTCCAAAGTCGCGGTCGCGGGTCCAAAGTCGCGGTCGCGGGTCCAAAGTCGCGGTCGTGGGTCCAAAGTCGCGGTCGCGGGTCCAAAGTCGCGGTCGCGCGTCCAATGTCGCGGTCGCGGGTCAAATGTCGCGGCAGGGGAAAATGATTTGGAGTTCGAGGTAACTGAGTGAAAACGAGTGATATGAAAAAAACATAAAGGGAAAAAAAGTGTTTTTATGCATGCTTTATGCATGATACTCTACGGCAGCCAATTTACAGGATACGGGTGTTAGAGTCAACAAAATAATGTCTCAAGAAAAGACCTAAAAGAAAAAGCTGGCCGACTTTTGTGTTCACCGCAAGTTCATTTTGTTTTCTTTCTATCGGGCCCAGTTATGTGTAAATTCAGCTTTGAAGCATAACAGTATCTGATAAAAAATGTTACCATGAGTTACCATTGTTTTCTTCTTGTCTATGAATTGCTCACAAATGCTTAGGGGTTCATTTACTGAAAAATGTGCGATAAACTTCATAGACTACAAATTATAAACGTGACAACAATTTAAAACCTTTTTTAAAAAAGGCTAACTGGGGCTCGAAAAGCTACGAGTCTGTCGGTAGAAGAAACGAGAACTGTTTCAATTTTAACAAATGTTTTCGGCAAAAATAAAAAAAACGCTTGTTGAAAAACGTCCTGGTCGCAAACTCCCAAAATAAACTCTTTGCACAAGTAACTGGAAAGAGGAGGAGAGACGTTGGGCTTGAAGTGCCAGTAAAGTACATTCAAGCGGGTATTCAAGGCATGAATTAAAAAAAAAAAAGAAGTAATAATCCACAGCAAGACGGGATAAAGCTCGATCTTTATCCTCTCTTGTCCACAGAAAGGAGTTTGTTCCCACTAACGATTGAAATCCGGAATCGAAGTTCTACCAAGAGAGAATAGATCATAGTCTCTTGGTTCTACTGACAAAGACTTGAATCCGGTACCTGGAATCTGGAATTACTTACCTAATTTAGTGTCTTTGTTTAGCTCTGGTGGAGTTGATAACTTACTGTTTTCAGTGTCTGGTTTACTTTCTTTTTCAGCTTCATGATATCGGGCGTTATTATTTCCTTACCTACTTACTCACTTAGTTACCATGCATGTTTTTAAGATTTGACTGAGACGCACATTGAATGGCTTCCTATTGTCAGGTTGTCCTGGTTGCCATTTAGGTAAAGAGAACAAGAAGTTATATTGACACTCTGGGTTGCCGTCTCAGTTGTAAAAATAAAAGCATTAAGCGAGAATCTTGCTTCGAGGAACAGACTCCCTTCTGTGGATTATTACTTGTTTCCATATTAAATTCATGCCTTGAATACCGCTTGAATGAAGTTTCATGCGCCTATTTACATTTTCTTTCAGTTTTGCCGAAAATATTTGTTAAATATAAGACTTCTCGTTTCTTCTACCGACAGACTCGTAGCTTTTTGAGCCCGAGTTCGCTTTTTTTAATAAAAGGCTTTAAGTTGTTGTAACGTTTTTAATTTGTAGTCTATGAAGTGTATCGCATATTTTTCAGTAAATGAGCCCCTAATCATCTGTGAGCAATTCATAGACAAGAAGAAAACAATGGTAACTTCTGGTAACTTTTTTATCAGATACTGTTATGCATAAGTATATTCAAAGCTGAATTTACACATAACTGGGCCCGATAGAAAGAAAACAAATAAACTTGCGGTGAACACAAAAGTCGGCCAGCTTTTTCTTTTAGGCCTTTTCTTGAAACATTATTTTGTTGACTCTAACATCCGTAACCTGTAAATTGGCTACCGTAGAGTATCGTGCATTAGCCTGTTCCAAGCGTTCAGATAGTGGAGAGCGGTGCAGAGTAATGCATCAGTCAATTCCACCTGCGCCCAGCCCCCGGGCTACTGCGGGGCATTTGCCCGCCTTGTCAGTCCCGGGGGTGGGGCATTTGCAAATTTTGCACTGCCCGGGGGCCGGGCATTTGCCAACCCCCGGGCCATTCCCGAGCTTTTGACACGCACGCGGTTTCCTATCAGAATATAACTACACAGAAGGTTTTACTGGAAAAAAAGCAGATTGGCTTATCTGTCAAGGACAGGAATAAATTGTAGAGGGTTGTAAAGGCATGTTCTCGATTTTACATGTATGTATGCATTTCTTCATTGCTTATCAAGCCAGAATTACATAGCGAAATTGGCGCTATCGATGTGAATCAACGTTTTTTGGTTATTGAATCAAATTTCCGTTGATATTATTTGAAGAACACCCTTTCATATTTGTAAAACTATTCATAACATATAACTTTACAGCGCTCTATTAATTTTAATATCAATAATTTTATATCAATACTAAAACCATAAAATGGTGCATGTCGTCGCGGCGTGAAGTCTTAATTAGAATCCTAGGGCTATTACAAAGGAATTAAGACGTTAATTGAAACAAAAAATCGCACTTTAAAATGGCACTATTGGACTGTGCGATCAATAAAAAATGTTGCACTGTTGACGGAGGACGGGGCATTTGCCCTCGTTTTTCTTCCCCACCCCGGGGGATTTGCCAGCTCAAGAGTCCCCACCCCCGGGAATTTGCCATCCATGGCAAAAAAAATGCTAATTCCCGGGGGTCAGCCCGGGGGGGGGGCTGGGCGCAGGTGGAATTGACTGATGCATAAAGAAAGCGATGAGAAGTAGAGGGGGACTGGGGAGAGAGGTGCGGGAACGCTTGTAAGAATTTTTAACAAAAGTGCGCCTGGTATACCCTCTGATTGGTTGATTTTGACAGTGTTTGTCAACAGTGGAGCATCTTCGATCACAGCGAGAAATGCGATATGGCCGTTATGACAGACTCTACGTGCCGTCACGCAGAATTCAAACTCGCAACAAACACAGCGCTGAGTGACTTTCCAAACGTGGAGGCTAAAAGCGAAGAGCAAAGAAACTGTTTAAAACACGTTGTCGGTAGGATAGATGTCTTAGCAATTTCTCACCGACTGGCTTTGGAAAAATTCTTATTTTCCAGCTTTTTCCTCGAATAAAGCGTGCGTTGGAATGAAGGCAGGATAGAATGCCATTTACGATTGTTGTTGTAACTCCGTTGATTACCATCATGGAAGACCAAGTGGAATATTTGAACAAAATCGGAGTAGCGGCGGCAATGATGGGAGAAGATGTGGGTGAAGCCGTTAAAAGTGGAAGCTGTGAAATTGTTTACTGAAGTGCCAAATCGTGTTTGTCCAATGAATGGACAAAAGGACTTCAAAAAGGAAAGCTTGGAAAGCAAGTTGCAGCTATCGCTATTGACGAGGTCCACTCAATCACCGAATAGTAAATTTTCCCTTCAATTGTTGTGCATTTTCATTGCTTGAGTTAACGATCTGTATTGAAACGGCTTTCTATCGAAATGAGCGATATTTGTTTGTCACTTGATTCATAATTTTTTTGTCACGTACACGCTGAAATCATGTTTTAAAGCCGTAAATAAATTCATTATACATGAATTTTTCTCCCGCCTTCTATTGTCTGAAAGACTTACATTGGGTTTTTAGTAAGATTATGTATACATAATATCAATTTTTGATCTGACAAAATTCGATTTATTCGCAAGAAAAATAATAAATGCATCGGGCTGTAACACCAGTCTTGATTGACAAGTGAAGACCACCTACAGCTGCGGTCTGACTGGGCGGAAGAGTCTATTTAAAACAAATCTAACAGGCGTTCCCTCTCTCACCTCTCCTCCTCCCTCGCTTTTATTTTTTCGCGCTCCTTTTTACTTCGCACCGCTCCCCACTATCTGAACGCCTGGAACAGGCTAATCGTGCATAAAAAAGATTTTTTCCCTTTATATTGTGTTCATATCAGTCATTTTCACTCAGTTACCTTGAACCCCAAATCATTTTCCCCTGCCGCGACATTGGACCCGCGACCGCGACTTTGGACTCGCGACCGCGACATTGAACCCGCGACCGCGACATTGGACTCGCGACCGCGACTTTGGACCCGCGACCACGACTTTGGACCCGCGACACGCGACCCGCGACTATTAGTCAAACTCCCAGACGTCCGCCATTCGGTGATCACAGCCAGAGCTCTCGATCAGCGGCTCTGATTGAAATGATCGCAAGAAACCAACCTTTTGGATACAAGGCAATAAGGACACAATGACATCATGCCTTTGGTCCGACTTTGGTTTTTTCTCAAAAAGAAATCACCAATTAACCCATCCGAAACTCAAACACAGAGTAGATGGCCTTTAAAACATAGATTTAGTAGTCATTGAAGAATATTTATTGGCAATAAAAATTGTGAAGACGACCCATTCTGGAGAGTTCTCTGGAGATTCCACGATAAGACCATTTTGCAAGCTTAAAATTGCACAACTTATTTTTGTTTGTTTCACTCAAACCTTGGCTAACCTTCAGCCATGAAAATCCGTTCTATCCTGTTAAAAAAACCCTTTTTTTCTCTTATTACAATGCGGCTTTTAAAACTGCATATTCACTGGGTCATTAGATAAATATACGGATTGTTCGACCATGATTATTATAAACCTGATATTTTTCAATCATTGTTATTAGTTATAATTTTACTACTATATAACAGAGGGACGTATCGTGTCCTTTTCAGTACAAATCGTAAAAGTATAAACATGTTAGTTTCCTTCTTTGTTACCAGATCCGTTTTACCTTTCGTCTGGCTTTCCGAAGATCGTATTCGGCCTCCTATTACTGTGATCAAAATACCATAGGCAATGGAAGTCTTCTTGGATCAGGAGGTTCATGGAACGCCAAGTGTAATTATTGCTCATCAACTACTATTGCAAGCACTGGTTTTCACTGTACAGACTACAGTAACAACGAGGATTGGTCAATGGGTGAAAATAACTTCAACTACACTTTCTCATTCTACGATAGATGGGTTGTAAGGTACATTCCTCTATTTAGTGTGTGTGTGTGTGTGTGTGTGTTTTTATCTTACGACCTCAGTTTCAAAATCATAAATGACTTATACATTGATCATTCATTTTCATACAAAATGTGATAATCAACTTATTTCAAAACAAGTTGTACAAGATACGATTCAGTGTCAGCATCCGACCTAGGTCTTTCTATCAAGTGTATTCTTTAATATTTCTCTCGTCTTGTGTCATAATGATGGCTATCCAGTGCGGGATCATGACATTTTATCTGATATACTGCATTTTGTTATAGCTATGGTGGGTGTTGTTGGATATCCTTGTCCCGGTATAGGAATGGCAATTGGCTTGTATCGACCACCGTTAATTTGACCAGAAGGTCAGATAATGGGAGAATTAACTCGTCTCCTGTGTCAAGAAGCCCGGCTATTGTTCGCTGGTCAGAAGGCTGTCCCAGTCAGTCTCTAAGGATCCCTGTAGAAGACGCCGACGGAGATGTGGTTAAATGCCGCTATGCAAAATACTCCGAGTCCTACTTTTACACCAATAGTTTTCCTTATGGCACACTTGATGAGGTAGTTAGACATTTCTGTGTTAATTGTCTGTACAACTTGTTTGTACCCGCGGTATGGTTGTTTTGCAGGGTTTCTTTATCCCCCGAATTCGCAGATCAAATTGAACACTGAGTATCTTTATAAAGTGAAACAAATGAGAATACAGAAATACAATTGTAAAAGTTAGGTCGGGAGAGTTCTCTTATGACCGTCGTCGGTATTTATTAGGGAGCTTAAGCAACGCGGGCGACGGCGACGGCGACGGCAACGGCAACGAAAACGTGACTTAAAAAGTGAATTCGCACTGCTTCAATTTTTGTCGCGCTTATTCCATCTCGTTTAATTCGTCAAATGTAATGGCAAATTTTTGTCGGGGTGGAATTCTAAAGGACTGTATCAAAGTTCAGGAAAAGAAAAAGAAAGTTGTTGTCTCTTGTGTTCCCGTCCTCGACAAAACGTGAAATTAGGCACTTTCACGTTGTAGTCGTGCAATGACGGCTAGGAAATGTACAAAAAAGCGTGATGCACGTGCAAACTTGCTGTTTTGCTAATCTAAACCAATTGCTTTTTTTTTTTTTCCCGTTCTCGTTGCCGTCGCCGTCGTCGTTGCCTATGAGCTCCCTATTGTTGAAACCATGCAACTTTAATGACGCCATTTCTTGTAACCATATCCTTCTATTTTCCAATGATCCGTCCCGGCTTCTTGTCCTTCCCACCGGAGAGAGTAACATTAGTCTATCTGCTAATCTTCATATTCTGAATTACCGTTATTATCATTCAATTAAGTTTTTCCTCTTTTGCAGAAAAAATGTTTGCTGACGTATAATGGCAACGGAACGGCTGGTACTTACGCTGTTGCACTAACCTTAGAGGACTTTCCAGCAGGAATTACAAACTTTGACAGCATTACTCCATTCAGTGCGGTGGGGCTGCAGTTTCTTGTCATAATAAGCAGCCGTTCTGGTTCTTGTAACAATGTTCCTGTATTTACTCCTTTAACTCCAAACGATGGAGAATGCACCGAAGTGCAGATTGGTTCATTGTACAGAGCTGTCATTGAAGCCACACTTGCAGACTATTCAAAAAGGTCACTAAATTTTACTTTATTTGGATAAATATTTAAAGTAACGGTCTGTGTTAAAAACACATGACTTATCTCTTTGTGTCCATAACTCATCGCCAATTCTTGGCAGGATCACTGCAATAGCATAGCGCCAGTTACTGCGCGGGTTCACTAACAGTCCCTCCCCATATAAAAGATAGACTACCACACCGGGACTACGTCCCCTACTCTTCACGATCAGTGTGTGGGTTCATTGACGTCCCACAGAATTTGTGTAGGCAAGGGTTGGGAGACAGGGCCTACAGTTTATCGTCCTTATCTGAGAAAGAAAGAAAGAAAGAAAGAAAGAAAGAAAGAAAGAATGAATGAAAAAAAGAAAAGCCTAACCGTTGTACATGTCTTTACAAAGGCAGCACTTTCTGCTCACTTTATTACTGACCCTGGGTGTTGGTCCGACCGGGGTTTCAACCAGCATCCTCCCGCTCGGCAGACCGGCGCTTCTTTAACGGAGCTAACCGGACGATAACTACCAACATTCAACTGATAGCACTCACTGTCTGTGGACCTGAAGAGCTCCTAAATTGATGCAGATCTATATGAACTAATTGAAATATAAAAAGATTGTCGTTCAGGTTATCGCGATCAGAAACTAACCAACACATGTAAAGATCGACTAACGCGTTGCTGTAAATTCTTAACTCTTATTTCATTTTGAAATTTCAGCATTGTGGAGATAGTGACTTCGTCTCCACCTGGAATGCAATTTACTTCTTTAACTTTCCATGGAGGAGTCTATTACAGAAATGTCACGTGGTACCCCAGCCAATATCAAGTAGGACAGCAGTCGTTTTGCTTCAAAGCAGTTGACTCCTCGGGGTGAGATGGCGAAAAAATAGTTACTTGACTAATTGACTGATATAGGACGAATAGTTAATAGAATACATGTAGAATAATATTAGGTGTTTGCGCGAGATTTTCCAGTAAATTTATTTAGTGTACGGTATTAGTGAAGGAAACCGATTAAATAAAGGTATTTGTAATTATTATAATGAGCTTTAATTTAGAACTGATATTTGTCCCCGGAACATGAATAAATTTCAGTCCTTGGATGAAATTCGGAAATCCCTGGAAAATTCCGTAAGAATTGGAATCGATTTCTTTTAAATGAGCACTTTGGTTTCAGCATTACTGACTATTCAGTCTGTCAGTTAATTTCGTTTGACTTTATGATCTTCTTTGTGAAGTTCATCTTAATTTAACGCTCATACGCTGGCGTGCCAGATTTTGTTTATGACATTTAGCTTAAACATTTATTTAGTTTACGGAAAAGTTTTTGCCTTGTTATGGGTGTTAAAAGGTAACAAAGTTCATCTCATGATCGGCAATGGCATATCGACTACGTTTCTGACGTTTGGCCCAGTATAGCGGCATAGTCCTGTAATATAGGACTCAGGGACGTAGCGTGCTTTACGGAAATACGCATGTACGTACTTGAGAAATTGGTGGGAAATTTTTAAAAGATTGACTAAGTAAAAGCCGTTTTTAATGTCGTGACTCGACCTTGTATCGTGCAGATTTGTTCTGTCTATCTCGCTGTTATTCTGCATCGTTTTTACACGAAAAACACAACAGTTTTAGTAGTGTAACGTGATAAATTTGAAACATTCTTGAGATGTATGCCTTTAATTAGGCGATCCCACAAGACATTGCGTTTTAATAAACAACGAAGCTGGACTAGGGGAATTCGTGCAAACTCGTTTGTCATCACAAAGAATCGACCCTGACTGACCATCATTCCTTTCAAGATGTATCTGGAAAGTTTTCCCATTAAAAAACTATTCATTTTTTTAGTTTTCTCTCTCGTCTATAAATGTCGAAAAAGTTTATCAAAGACTACATTAATCTCGCTCACCTGAGAAAACATGGACCAGACCATGCCAACCATAATCGAGATATAATGCTGAAGCAAATCTGTTAGGTGCACGTAGTAAATTTACTGCGTGTGTTATGTTGAAAGAATATTAAATATTCACCCACCATTTGTTGTGTCAGTTGCTGTGCTGATACTTATATGAAATAAAATGTCATCCTTGTTAGTATTTTTTTATATAAAGAATGCTAATGAGGATGAAATTTTGAAAGCTTGACAGTGTTTTACTGAGGTTTAAAACACGAGCACGTGACGGATTCTAGCGGACGTGATAGGTTGTTGAGCTCATGAATTATTAATGAGTTTTTGGAAAAAAAAAATAAAAGCGACAGTAGAGCTTACATTTCATTCCTAACATAGTATTAGTGTTTTGCTACATTTTCGTTTAGCATTTGAATGAAGCATCTTCTATGAATTTCGTGTCAATTATTCAGCGCTTTGGAAGTTTATTTAGAGGAGGATCCACTGGACGAAAAAATGGATTTGCACAAATCTGCTCCTTGCAAATATCACGCAAATTTGTAGAAACTGGGGAGTAAATCTGGGGTAAAGATGATAATGCCACATTTGTCGCCTAGTTATTTACACCCCCTGTTTACTAGTATGCAAATGTGGCATTTACATCTTTGCCCCTAACTTATTCCTCCGTTTTAACAATTTTTCTACATATTTACAAGAAGCAAATTTCTGCAAATCCATTTTTTCGTCCAGTGGGAGCCTCGTTTCTTCTCGTAAACATTCTAGTACCAGCTCAACGAAGAACGTTTGAAAAGCTTTTTTTAAGTCACGTTCTATCTTAAACAAGCCTGTTAGCTGCCAAAAGATGTATTACAGGAAAGCAAAAACGTTATTTTGTACGAATATGGATCCGTGTTCGTACTTGCCAAAATGGTCACGCTACGCCCCTGGGACTGTTGCTGACAGTGGCTGACGATTCGACGATCATGCTTCACCTATACTATCTATGAGTGACTCCTGGGCTCAAACCTTTCCCGATGTTGTAAACGTTGTACAATCAGGATACAATTTTTACAATAAGGAATGCTTGTTCTTTTCTCCCTTTTTCTCGTAGCATGGGAACTGAATGGCGCTGCGTAACTATTCTCGTGGGAATAAGTAAGTAACCGTTTAATCGTCGGTCGTAAAAGTAAATCGAACCTCAAACACGATGGTACAAAAGCAGAAGCAATGCGAAAAGATTGCTTATCGTGAGGTTCTCTTTTAGACGCGGTCTATTAATTACAGGCACAAAATGGTGTTGGGTTCACACACTGAGTACCCGAAATGTAACTGTGTAGATAGTCACGCCATTAAGCCTTTTCAGACGCCATTTTGAAACATAGTACAAAACAGTGGACTGCCCCAGAACTAACAAAAACGGTATACAGACGGCGTCTACTTTTGTAACCGAGGACAAGATCTCGACCTCGAGCACTTTACAAATGCCCGAAATCTAGCGGGGTACTCGAAAAAAGGGCGGTTCACATTTATTTAGTGCCCAGCGAGTACCGCTGGCACCGTGCCCGGGCACCAATTGTGAACGCTGCTTCACATAACGCAAATGTTATCTAACGGCTGAATAGATGGCGATGGTGAGGAACGTCTAGAATTGCATTAATTTACTGAGATTTTTTATTGCTATTGCTGACGCACAAATTTTGTTGAGTATATTTCACTATTATTTCAAAAAGAGCTGAATTATTTTCTAATTAACAATTATTCTTTGAAATCGAGGTGAATAGTGGCTAAATATTTACCGAGCCGAGAAAGCAGCGAGGTAAACATTTCTAAAGCCACTATTCACCTAGATGGAAAAGAATAATTGTTTTAGTATATACACACGAACTGGTCTCAACAAAATCGGAGAGGAAACCATTAAAAAGTACGATTTGATTGACAGATCAAATCACGCGAAAGTTTAAAAATAGATCTTTGTAGAATTTTCAAACATGGCAATTCACAAGGTTATCACTTCGCAAACGACAGCGTAATGGCTTTAATGAAACCGTTAAAAGTTTGAATTGTTTCCTTACCTGAGAAGAAAAGAAGAGCTTTGTTGTTTTCTCTTGACTCACCAAGTTTATAGCCGAAGAGGTTTGTTGTGTCGTTCTTCGCATGAAGTGCTGACAAAAATGGCGGCTCGGTTCCTCGAGGTAAGACTTCGTCTTCACGTAGCATTCTTTCTCCTATTTACTTGAAACGGAGAATTTCTGCAAACATTTGCTTTCAAATTTGTTTGTCACAAATACACTTCGATTTTTGGGCCAAATTTTTCTTGTTAGGAAACGATAAGTTCACGAAACGGCCTCTTCTACGCGAATAAACGGGAGTTGTAAACAATCCATCGATCACAAAACTCAGTTACAGTAAATGGAAAAACGCCGTTTTGAATCCTTCGAAGTCTTTTCTTGCCGAAAAAAAAGTCAACCTTAGGATTTTGTCGACTTTTAAAAGATCTTTCTCTAAAAAACTGGGAAAAACACCGAGCGCACACATTATCCACTCACTAGGAGGTAAATATTGTTGAATAGTCTGAGATAGCGAACCAATCAGATTGCTTAAATCACCAAGATCACTGAGTGTGTACATACTAATTGTAGGTAGTACACCTCGAGTCATTTGGGGAAGCCAGACTCCACAAAGTCCCCTCAAAAACAGCGGGCCGGGTTATATATGGTGGAGCATACAGTTTGATCGCGTGGTAAGTACAGTATTCTGATTAACGTTCTAAATTGTTGGTTGAAATAAGCTTGGCATAGTCCTCCTTTACTTTATTTGACAAGCATTAGCATCTTCATTATTTCATAAATAAAATGTTTAAGGCAGAATATTGGCCAAGTTTTAGACCATATATATGAGCAAACTTGACCAGTGTGGTAAGTAAAGGGTTTATTACGTACAAAAAACGCCTCTTTCAGAAAAAAAATCGAGCGATTCCGAATGAGTGTCTCTCCCGCTCGTAGCCAATTCGAAAACAGATTCGCTTAATTTTGCCTGCTCACATAACAAAGCCAGCTGTTGACGTATTTTTTTGTTAAAAATACAGATAAAGAAGCCTCGCACTTCTTCCTTTATCCGGCTGGTTCTTCTTCCCAGTGGTCATACAGTTCATAAATTGGACACACTCTCTCAGTTTGTTATAATTAACAGTACCACCCTGCAGTTTGCAATACCTTATGCTGCATTAAGTATGAACGGCTCGTACGCTATTTTGATGGATCGTGGAGCAGTAGTTGGACAAGGTTGTTCGTACGATGGACCACCTACACCAGGAATAACTAACACAAGTGACTGGCAGTTTACTGCTGGTTTTTGTCCTGTCGGATATACCCTTGCTCCACCAGATTTTTCTAACTGTGTTGGTATGTATAGTTAGCTTTTTCCCGATCGCACATGATTATTTATATAAAATATTTCTACGTTTCTTATTGGCTCAAATTCTCCGGCTAATTCTCCTTTTGTAATATCCTGTAAAATGACGTTAAAAGTACAGGCTTTCGCCAGGAAAAGGTATAGCAGCCGAGAACCTCTGGGTAAGGGGTTGTGGAAGCTCGGTTGTTTCTGGGGAAAGTCTGCGGAAATTTCACACGTTTAGCGAAAAACCATAGCCAACTTTCTGTCTAACATAGCAAGAACAGCAAATTAATACAACTCAACGGATGAGCCACTGGCTGATATGTGAAGAATGCCTGTTAGATTAAACTTGCCTTAATCATTATGAAGTTTTCGAGGAAGAGACGTGAGACAGGAACTTAACATCGATCGCTGTAAGCATGTTTTCGAGTAAGAATAATATATTAAACGATTAAAACTAAGATTTGTTTTAAAAAAAAAAAAATTGGACAGATACCTTAAGGCCGGCATCCCTCTCTTTTCCTCTTTCGAGAAATCCCCGCTAACCAAGCGGGAAATTATTCATGTATTCATCAAGTTAACTCCGTGGCCACAGTCCGATCAGGGGAAAACTAACCGGATATCGGACAGCAATGAATAACATACCGTAAAATTCCAAAAATAAGCCCCGGGGCTTATATTTTTCAAAGGCCCTTTTTGAGGGGCTTAGTTTTGGAGGGGCTTATATTCGGAGGGGCTTATCTACGGAGGGAAATTTGCGTTTCAAAATCGATTGGGCTAACCTTATAGTTGGAAGTAAATTTACCGTTTTTGCTTTGTTTTACTTTGTATTTGAGGGCAATTTCCAAGTACAAGCCCCCAGGGGGCTTACATTTGGAGGGGCGATTTAACGGAGGGTTTTTTGCGTTACCGGTTTGGGGGGCTTATATTTGGAGGGGCTTATACATGGAGGGGCTTATTTTCGGAATTTTACGGTACTACTCAGTTATCTGCACTGTATCCAATCACTCTGGCGCCAACTTTTTGTATTAGCTGATTATGACCGGGGCCTCTGTTACCTCGGTAAGCAGAGGAAAATTCTTAAGTGACCTCAATCAACTTCCTTGGGCCAATGTTGATTTGTATTCTGATCCAAATGAAATGTGGCTGCGTCAATAAACACGCACCACTCAGCAAATCGAAAAGAATTCGAAAAAAACGATCTCCACGGATTACTAGAGAGTTACTGAGTAAAATCCGAAAACGAGATTTCCTTAAAAAAGGGAAATCTCCTCCAATAACCCGGCTATATGGGATCAATTTAGGTGTGCACAAACCAGGCTAATAACGCAGTTAAACTCGCAAAGAAACTCTATGTTTTTGACAACCTGGAAACCAACAAAGGTAAATTGCGCAAAACATGGAATGTTATCAACGAGCTAACTTCACGTAACAGTGGTAAGTGGACGAATATTTTGGAGATCAAGGTACATAATAAAATAGTAACCCTATGGACATTGCGGAAAGTGCTAACGATCACTTTACAAACGCGCGGGCGTTGCGCAAGTATTAGCACAAGATATTCCTGTTGTCGATGTTAATTCTGAGTCTTACTTACAGCCCACTGGTCATTCGTTTTCTCTGCAAATTCCGAGGGTTGATATTGTTTTTAACATTTTGTCGAAAACTGATGAAAAGAAAGCCACCGATCTTGACATGATTCCGAGTAAATTGTTGAAAATGGCTGCTAGTATCGTTGCGCCCTCTCTTACCTCTACATTCTCATGAAAGTCTACTCTCACGTGGATATATCCAAACGATTGGAAAACGACCAAAGTGACTCCACTTTTTAAAAAGGGAATTAAATCGGATCCTAACAACTATGGGCTAATATCTGTAATCCCTATAATTTCGAAAGTTTTTGAAAAAATTGTTTACAATCAACTTTTCCATTATCTAGATGAAAACAAATTGCTACTACGTTGCCAATCAGGGTTTCGTTGACTTCTCTACATGGTACGCTCACGGCTTTGCTTGAGGCAACAAATGCTTGGTCAGTAAACATCGCCAATGGCTTTCTAAATGGCGTTGTCCTTATTGACCTTACTAAGGCATTCGACACCATTGATCATGAGATCATCTTGCGTAATTATAAGATGTCATACTTGGGTGTCGATCAGGCAGCTATAATAAAGTGGTTCTCGTTGTACCCAAAGATGTAATGTCAGTGGCAAAAGATCAACTGCTCGTACCCTCAATTGCGGCGTGCTGCAGGGTGGCAAATTGGGTCCTTTGCTATTTTTAATTTACATTAATGACCTTCCCAACTCCCTAAGGGGCGACGTACCAAGAATGTTTGCCGACGACACCAATCTTACGTTATCTGATAAGACGTTAACAGAGCTTAAGCTAGCTCTAACCCCTGAATTAAATAACCTTAGCAGTTGGCTGAAAGCTAACAAACTCAGTCTAAATGTTGCTAAAAAAGAGCTTATGATTACTGGATCAAGACAAAGACTATCTGCCCAATGTGATGATGTAGAAATCAGAATTGATCACCAAATTATCAAGAGAGTCGATCATACCAAATCCTTGGGTCTTACCAAAGATGCTCAACTCTCTTGGGGTAAACACGTTGAAGAAATTTGCAAGAAAGTCTGTTCAGCAATAGGCGCCCTAAAACGTGTGCGGCCCTTTATATCCAAAGAAACTGCAATTCAAATTTATAACGCTTTTTTTATATATATATATTGCTTTTTTAATTACTGCAAACCTGTCTGGGACTGTTTGAGTGGTTACTTCTGATAAGCTCCAAATATTACAGAATCGCCAGAGTTATTACTAAATCACCCTTTGAGACTGGGAGAGGCTATCTCTTCGAAGAAAGAAACAAAAAACCTTAATGATGTATAAAACCATGAACGACCTTGCTCCTGAATATCGACAAAGTCTTTTCTCCCACCGTCACTCTGCTTACAACTTATCAAAGGGACCCTGAGGGAAGGCTGACCCTGTCCAAACCAAGCACCAATTATTTGAAACGAAGCTTTTTTTACAGAGGGGGCATGTTATGAAATAACGTGTCCATGCAGCTTATGCTGCATCTGTTGAGCATTTTAAGCGAAATATCAAGAAAGTAGCTGATATATTGGATTCCCACGCGGCAATCATGTAAAGCAGTTGTAATTAGTTTTAGTTTTTAACTTACGCTTAACTGATGATTTCCTGTGTTTACATAAAGAATTACATACATACAAGCCTCCGAAAAATAGGACAGCCCGGTTTAAGTAATCAGCCTCTAAGTAAGGGAAGAGTGTAAGACCTTTTTTTTTTTTATTATTTTCAGACATAAACGAGTGTGGGTCTCCTTCGAGATCAAGACGTAGTTTTTATTATAATTGGTGGAGTGTTACTATGTCTTCGTCAACACTGTGGTTTAGTACCGGTGAGTTAATCGGGGTTAAACTCTCCTTACAATAGCTGTATGTATTGTAAAATGAAGTGTGAGAAACTAAGATATTCTCTTCACATTACTGACTACAGTAGTGCTATAAACAGACAGACACTGCGTCTTAACATGCAAATCGCTACCTCAAAATCACATAACTGCAGGAAATTAAAGTCGCGTAAGTCTAGTAAAAAAGTAGCCTGAGAAAACAGCCGACACTTCGCGACGCCACCACTGGTTTCCCCTCGAAACTCCATACTGATCACGAGTCATTACCCAGAACTGCGTAGTGCTTCTGATTTGTCGTGCTGCGTGGGAAATTTGCTTCAATCAGAAGCACTACCAAGATCTGGGTAGTGAAGAGTCATCAGTATGGAGTTTCTGCGTTCGTTTCTCAGAAGTCATTTCGTGGGGAAACTAGTCGGTGGCGTCGCGAAATGTAGGCTGTTTTCTCAGGCTAGTAAAAAAGGTCTCACTAAATTTAATGATTTCAATAATAAGATCGTAAAACTAAGAAGGCTTTATGCAGATACAAAGACTCACTCTTGCTGGCATGGAACGCGTAAACCAAGGTCGTTGAATACACCTCAGTAAGTGTTTAATGGAATCCGTCATCCGTCAAACATCGATATATTAAAGGAAGGGCTAAAGGACTGGCAAAATCTGTTAGCTGAAACGAGGTTTCGTTATATAAAGGTTCTTTTTGTTTTTTTTGTTTTTTGTTTTTTGTTTTTTTTTTATCACTGGGGTAAAGAAATTCGTTCATTATACCGAGGACTTCGCTAAATAGGGGTTTGTTATATCGAGAATCCACTGTACTCACTTTTACTAATTGCAATCAGGGAGGAAAAGTACTAAAACAAATATCAATATATGACAATGGCTGACGACACTGACGGTAACAGGTTGCTACCGTTGATCTAAAAAACAGATCTCATAAATTCGCTGGGAAAATTCGCGCCAAAGCTCATGATATTCATTGTAACGATTTTGAATTTCAACTCTTCTAGAAGGAAACATAAGCGCGCCCTTAGTTAACGAGACAATACAAACCTCAAGTACTGACCACGTTACTTAAAAAAATTCCACAGCTTCAACAAGAACAATCAGTCCAAGTTACAAAGCTTCATCTATTACGTCTCCAAGTTTATCGCCATCAGTGAGTGCCAGTCAATCGGTTTCACCAAGCACTTCACCGTCAGTCAGTGCAAGCTTGCCACTTTCATCAGGTACGTTTGAGGAGTTTAAGACACCTCGCCTTTTGTGGAACCTCATGTAATTGAGCGAGTTACTAGATACCGTTTTTATAAGCGTTGTGGCAAATGAAGAAGAGTAGTTCAGTGAAACGCTATTTTTATCATTCATAATGAGCGATCTGAGGTGACCAGTTGCTCAATGATGTTAAGTATAAAAGCACATTCAAGTTTGAGCAAGATTTCAAGGTGAATGTTGTTTATCGGCAGTGTTCTTTGCCTTGTTAACTTGCTGGCACGAACAATTTTCGAAAATATTTTCCTTCCTTTTTTCTCCATAAATTAACTTTTATTTATAGACAAAATTGGTCTTGCAAGAAAATCCCGAAATCACAAAACAGTGACAAAGCGGACCCGTTTTCCTCTGTAGTGGTAAACATAGCTTCGAGTGTACAATAAGTCAGCTACAGTAAACCACTACACAATAAATCACGTTGTTTAAACACCATGAAGTCTCTTCTTACCTTCAAAGTAATCAACACTTAGATATCCTTGTATCTTCAAAAAGTTCTTACTATGAAACTTTGGCAAAACACCCAGTTCACGACAGCGATGTTGTTGTGCTGTATATTCACCGCCTAGCGAGGTGAATATATAACGTCATCGTCCGAGATAGGGAACCAATCAGATTGCTTGAATCACCAAAATCACTGAGTGTGTGTATATACTAATGCATTTCATTTTTCTTAAAAAATCTTTCTGAATATTGACATAATAAATATTTTGTTCATTTTATTATACAATGAAGAATTGAATGCAACCACACAGGAATCATTTTAATCAATTACAATTTATATATGAGTTACATGTAAATTATCCAGTCATCTGAAATATTCACATTGTATATCACACATAGAAAAGAAACATCATGACATTTCTTTACTAGTCTACTTTCTTCACTCATTTGATACTTCTTAAGAACAACTCCCACTGACTCAACAAAGGCTATAAAAATATGTACAGTCATGCAACTGTAAAACTTTAAACTAATGTTTAATAATAATTAAATGGATAATATTTTATAGTAGATTGTGTGATGCTGTAAATATACATTATTTATCCAAACTTCTATCAGGGCACTGTTTAACTATCAAAATTAAGATAAAATAATATTTGACGTTTGCAAATTATTTTTCTTTAAAATCATTAAGCCTCTCCCTAACAGTCGAATAGGATCTAGATCTCATGAGGAAATGAACAATTTCAGTGGCGTCAGCCTACAAAAAACGACAAAAATGCGAATGAGTCTGAAATATTACAAACAATATTAACAAGGCGGGAGGGCGGGAAAACGAACGGTAAACACGTCGGAAAGTGGAATGCGAAAGAGAGAAAGAACGCATTCTATGCGGACGAATTTATAGTGTAGATTAACCAATCAGACGGTGCTAGAGAGCCCTGTAGAGAACTACAACATACCAGCGGAAAATACGTATAATACCCTTGTTTGCCTTAGAGTGAAATTCAAGAAGGCTTGCTCTATCAAGTCCACTGGGCTTGAGAGAGGTTTGAACTGATAGTGGCCAATTGATTACCTGATACTATTGGTTTCGTTTTAGGTTTGAGGTTAGTTGGAGGAAACTGGAACGGAGAAGGGAGAGTAGAGATTTTGCACAATGGGGTCTGGGGAACTGTTTGTGATGACTACTGGGATATAAATGACGCGAGAGTTGTTTGCCGTGAACTTGGATATCCAGACGCTGTTAGTGCTCCACACTCTGCACACTTCGGTCAAGGACGTGGTCGAATTTGGTTGGACGATGTATCCTGCTCGGGAATTGAAAGGTCTATTGTAGATTGTGGGCACAGAGGATGGGGTGTGGAAAACTGCGGTCACGGTGAAGATGCATCGGTGATTTGTTCAAGTGAGTACAACCTTAACAACCTATGCATATATTGACAAATACACTGGTGTCTCTGGATGTGCTTTCATGCGTTATTCAGTATGCGAAAAAGCAAAGTAATATTAAGGCCTAGCGGAAGTGCAAAACACTGGAGAAAAAAACTACGTACCTACCTACTAGTTTGTTTCTTTTCATAAATATTTTTATCTAACCCTGACTGTGCATTTACCTCTCTAGCATTGCCAGAAATCGGGGACATTTCGCGCCCGTGATTAATTGTCAGCGGAATCTCATTTCCAAATGGCGGACAAAAACGATCGTAGTCAGGGAAAGCGTATCCCCTGCGATTTTTTAAAATAATTTGAGCTTTGTGGATCCGTTTTACGAGGAAAAAGCTGGAATAAAACACCTAGCAAGAAAATGTTAGGTTTATACCCGGCCGAGCGGCTGATAGCAACAAAACAGTACGCGGATGTACCTTTCGTGACATTTTCGTGACATTTTCGTGACAATTTTGTTTTAAAACCAAGCCTGGTAGGCTAATCGAGGATTTTTGAATGCCTGGAACCTAGTTTATATCCCGTGAAGCATCTCTGGAGTTTTAGCAACAAACAAAATGGCGATTCGGTGAGGTTTGGAGTTGTGAAGCTTTGTCCGACCGAAATGTGTCATTCGCAACTATGGCGTCCATTACTGGACTACAGATGGAAAACTGAGGGAAATAACGCGCCTTTTGGAAGTATTTTCAAGCGCAAAAATCGTCCTTTTAACGACTGTTTTGGAAACATCTTCCATCGCAGAAGTAATATCGAGTCGGGCAAATTTACTTCAGTGAAGGGTTTATCCTCTAATCGACGAGTATTTCGCATGACTTCGGCAAGATTTTAAGACAATGTATGGAGAAATGGAGCGTACAACGAGAGATAAAAGTGGCCACTTCGGGAAGTAAGTAAACCTACTTCTAATTAGCAATTTTTAACCCAGATGCGAAGGTTACACAGCACTTAACATGTTTCGAGTCGGGCACCGAACACCCGTGAGCTCATAATCGATATATTTGAAAAAGTTTCCTTATCTCCATACATTTTCTTATACGAATTCGCAGCCATTGTGGCCTTAGTGCGCACGCGCAACCGCCATCTTCTCCCTAATTTCTGGCAATGCTAATGCATCTTCAATACCTACAACTATTTCACCAACATCAGGTAACGGAAAACTTCCTTTTTGATGTTTTTCTGCATTCAGTTTTAGAATTTTACAAACGCATTTTATTTTGTTCTTGTAGCAGAAATCTCAGTAGCGACAGTTTTTAGCTCCGTCCCAAGTGGTTTCGGTAAGTCGTTTGACTATACTTAACTTATAGTTAATCTGTACAGTATGCGTTCATTTTGAAAACTTATAAACCCTTACAGTATTTTCAGAATTCATTTCTGTTGTTTGTAACGTTTGATTTAATGCTTGAAAGAAATAAGTCTTATTTCATTGACACAAACCTGTTATCTTACTATTCACAAGTAATTGAACGAGTTCCATAGATCTTCTCGACAAGATAACAAAGATATTTTATGGGTAGTTTTTCGTAATTTTGTTTGTTTTCAGCAATATCTCCAACGAAAAGTTCTTCTATTACGCCATTTACTGTATCGAGTTCTGGTAAGTATAGTTACGTTCTAATTCGCTTCGCTCAAACAAACGTAAATTATTTTCCTCTTAAATGTATACATATACATATATACATTATAATACATACAAAACAAACAATGCTATTTGATGGTCGGATGCTCAGCTAGGCATTCCATACCGACGTGGTTTTATTACAGACTAACAAAACAGTACATTTGAACGATTAATAGTTCAAGAAAATAACATTCTTATTAAATGCCTAAATGACCAGTAACCTCTAATCTTCTGGAAATATCTTCATGGATATAAATGTCTTTGAATTTATTTTAGGTATCTCCTAACAGTCGAATAGGATCTAGATCTCATGAGGAAATGAACAATTTCAGTGGCGTCAGCCTACAAAAAACGACAAAAATGCGAATGAGTCTGAAATATTACAAACAATATTAACAAGGCGGGAGGGCGGGAAAACGAACGGTAAACACGTCGGAAAGTGGAATGCGAAAGAGAGAAAGAACGCATTCTATGCGGACGAATTTATAGTGTAGATTAACCAATCAGACGGTGCTAGAGAGCCCTGTAGAGAACTACAACATACCAGCGGAAAATACGTATAATACCCTTGTTTGCCTTAGAGTGAAATTCAAGAAGGCTTGCTCTATCAAGTCCACTGGGCTTGAGAGAGGTTTGAACTGATAGTGGCCAATTGATTACCTGATACTATTGGTTTCGTTTTAGGTTTGAGGTTAGTTGGAGGAAACTGGAACGGAGAAGGGAGAGTAGAGATTTTGCACAATGGGGTCTGGGGAACTGTTTGTGATGACTACTGGGATATGAATGACGCGAGAGTTGTTTGCCGTGAACTTGGATATCCAGACGCTGTTAGTGCTCCACACTCTGCACACTTCGGTCAAGGACGTGGTCGAATTTGGTTGGACGATGTATCCTGCTCGGGAATTGAAAGGTCTATTGTAGATTGTGGGCACAGAGGATGGGGTGTGGAAAACTGCGGTCACGGTGAAGATGCATCGGTGATTTGTTCAAGTGAGTACAACCTTAACAACCTATGCATATATTGACAAATACACTGGTGTCTCTGGATGTGCTTTCATGCGTTATTCAGTATGCGAAAAAGCAAAGTAATATTAAGGCCTAGCGGAAGTGCAAAACACTGGAAAAAAAAAACTACGTACCTACCTACTAGTTTGTTTCTTTTCATAAATATTTTTATCTAACCCTGACTGTGCATTTACCTCTCTAGCTAATGCATCTTCAATACCTACAACTATGTCACCAACATCAGGTAACGGAAAACTTCCTTTTGATGTTTTTCTGCATTCAGTTTTAGAATTTTACAAACGCATTTTATTTTGTTCTTGTAGCAGAAATCTCAGTAGCGACAGTTTTTAGCTCCGTCCCAAGTGGTATCGGTAAGTCGTTTGACTATACTTAACTTATAGTTAATCTGTACAGTATGCGTTCATTTTGAAAACTTATAAACCCTTACAGTATTTTCAGAATTCATTTCTGTTGTTTGTAACGTTTGATTTAATGCTTGAAAGAAATAAGTCTTATTTCATTGACACAAACCTGTTATCTTACTATTCACAAGTAATTGAACGAGTTCCATAGATCTTCTCGACAAGATAACAAAGATATTTTATGGGTAGTTTTTCGTACTTTTGTTTGTTTTCAGCAATATCTCCAACGAAAAGTTCTTCTATTACGCCATTTACTGTATCGAGTTCTGGTAAGTATAGTTACGTTCTAATTCGCTTCGCTCAAACAAACGTAAATTATTTTCCTCTTAAATGTATACATATACATATATACATTATAATACATACAAAACAAACAATGCTATTTGATGGTCTGATGCTCAGCTAGGCATTCCATACCGACGTGGTTTTATTACAGACTAACAAAACAGTACATTTGAACGATTAATAGTTCAAGAAAATAACATTCTTATTAAATGCCTAAATGACCAGTAACCTCTAATCTTCTGGAAATATCTTCATGGATATACATGTCTTTGAATTTATTTTAGGTATCTCCTAACAGTCGAATAGGATCTAGATCTCATGAGGAAATGAACAATTTCAGTGGCGTCAGCCTACAAAAAACGACAAAAATGCGAATGAGTCTGAAATATTACAAACAATATTAACAAGGCGGGAGGGCGGGAAAACGAACGGTAAACACGTCGGAAAGTGGAATGCGAAAGAGAGAAAGAACGCATTCTATGCGGACGAATTTATAGTGTAGATTAACCAATCAGACGGTGCTAGAGAGCCCTGTAGAGAACTACAACATACCAGCGGAAAATACGTATAATACCCTTGTTTGCCTTAGAGTGAAATTCAAGAAGGCTTGCTCTATCAAGTCCATTGGGCTTGAGAGAGGTTTGAACTGATAGTGGCCAATTGATTACCTGATACTATTGGTTTCGTTTTAGGTTTGAGGTTAGTTGGAGGATACTGGAAAGGAGAAGGAAGAGTAGAGATTTTGTACAATGGTTACTGGGGGACTGTTTGTGATGACTCCTGGGATATAAGCGACGCGAGAGTTGTTTGCCGTGAACTTGGGTATCCAGACGCTGTTAGTGCTCCGAGGTATGCACACTTCGGTCAAGGAAGTGGTCCAATTTGGTTGGATAATGTATTCTGCTCGGGAAATGAAAGTTCCATTGTAGATTGTAGGCACAATGGATGGGGTGTAGAAAACTGCGCTCACAGTGAAGATGCATCGGTGATTTGTTCAAGTAAGTACAACCTAACCAACCTATGCATATATTGACGAATACACTAGAGTGGCTTCATATGCGTTATTCAGTATGCACAAAAGCAAGGTAATATTAAGGCCTATAGCTAGTAGAAGTGTAAAACACTGAATAAAAAACTACCTACCTTACCTACCTACTAGTTTAATTGTTTCTTTTCATAAATACTTTTATTTAACTCTATGCATTTACCTTTTACTCTATAGCTAATGCATCTTCAATACCTACAACTGTTTCACCAACATCAAGTAACAGAAAACTTCCTTTTTGATTTTCCTGCATTCAGTTTCAATTGGAATTGTAACAAACACATTTTATTTTGTACTTGTGGCAGAAATCTCAGCAAGGACAGTTTCTAGCTCCGTACCAAGTGGTAGCGGTAAGTAGTTTGACTATACTTAACTTATAGTTAATCTGTACAGTATGCGTTCATTTTGAAAACTTATAAACCCTTACAGTATTTTCAGAATTCATTTCTGTTGTTTGTAACGTTTGATTTAATGCTTGAAAGAAATAAGTCTTATTTCATTGACACAAACCTGTTATCTTACTATTCACAAGTAATTGAACGAGTTCCATAGATCTTCTCGACAAGATAACAAAGATATTTTATGGGTAGTTTTTCGTAATTTTGTTTGTTTTCAGCAATATCTCCAACGAAAAGTTCTTCTATTACGCCATTTACTGTATCGAGTTCTGGTAAGTATAGTTACGTTCTAATTCGCTTCGCTCAAACAAACGTAAATTATTTTCCTCTTAAATGTATACATATACATATATACATTATAATACATACAAAACAAACAATGCTATTTGATGGTCGGATGCTCAGCTAGGCATTCCATACCGACGTGGTTTTATTACAGACTAACAAAACAGTACATTTGAACGATTAATAGTTCAAGAAAATAACATTCTTATTAAATGCCTACATGACCAGTAACCTCTAATCTTCTGGGAATATCTTCATGGATATACATGTCTTTGAATTTATTTTAGGTATCTCCTAACAGTCGAATAGGATCTAGATCTCATGAGGAAATGAACAATTTCAGTGGCGTCAGCCTACAAAAAACGACAAAAATGCGAATGAGTCTGAAATATTACAAACAATATTAACAAGGCGGGAGGGCGGGAAAACGAACGGTAAACACGTCGGAAAGTGGAATGCGAAAGAGAGACAGAACGCATTCTATGCGGACGAATTTATAGTGTAGATTAACCAATCAGACGGTGCTAGAGAGCCCTGTAGAGAACTACAACATACCAGCGGAAAATACGTATAATACCCTTGTTTGCCTTAGAGTGAAATTCAAGAAGGCTTGCTCTATCAAGTCCACTGGGCTTGAGAGAGGTTTGAACTGATAGTGGCCAATTGATTACCTGATACTATTGGTTTCGTTTTAGGTTTGAGGTTAGTTGGAGGAAACTGGAACGGAGAAGGGAGAGTAGAGATTTTGCACAATGGGGTCTGGGGAACTGTTTGTGATGACTACTGGGATATAAATGACGCGAGAGTTGTTTGCCGTGAACTTGGATATCCAGACGCTGTTAGTGCTCCACACTCTGCACACTTCGGTCAAGGACGTGGTCGAATTTGGTTGGACGATGTTTCCTGCTCGGGAATTGAAAGGTCTATTGTAGATTGTGGGCACAGAGGATGGGGTGTGGAAAACTGCGGTCACGGTGAAGATGCATCGGTGATTTGTTCAAGTGAGTACAACCTTAACAACCTATGCATATATTGACAAATACACTGGTGTCTCTGGATGTGCTTTCATGCGTTATTCAGTATGCGAAAAAGCAAAGTAATATTAAGGCCTAGCGGAAGTGCAAAACACTGGAGAAAAAAACTACGTACCTACCTACTAGTTTGTTTCTTTTCATAAATATTTTTATCTAACCCTGACTGTGCATTTACCTCTCTAGCTAATGCATCTTCAATACCTACAACTATGTCACCAACATCAGGTAACGGAAAACTTCCTTTTTGATGTTTTTCTGCATTCAGTTTTAGAATTTTACAAACGCATTTTATTTTGTTCTTGTAGCAGAAATCTCAGTAGCGACAGTTTTTAGCTCCGTCCCAAGTGGTATCGGTAAGTCGTTTGACTATACTTAACTTATAGTTAATCTGTACAGTATGCGTTCATTTTGAAAACTTATAAACCCTTACAGTATTTTCAGAATTCATTTCTGTTGTTTGTAACGTTTGATTTAATGCTTGAAAGAAATAAGTCTTATTTCATTGACACAAACCTGTTATCTTACTATTCACAAGTAATTGAACGAGTTCCATAGATCTTCTCGACAAGATAACAAAGATATTTTATGGGTAGTTTTTCGTAATTTTGTTTGTTTTCAGCAATATCTCCAACGAAAAGTTCTTCTATTACGCCATTTACTGTATCGAGTTCTGGTAAGTATAGTTACGTTCTAATTCGCTTCGCTCAAACAAACGTAAATTATTTTCCTCTTAAATGTATACATATACATATATACATTATAATACATACAAAACAAACAATGCTATTTGATGGTCGGATGCTCAGCTAGGCATTCCATACCGACGTGGTTTTATTACAGACTAACAAAACAGTACATTTGAACGATTAATAGTTCAAGAAAATAACATTCTTATTAAATGCCTAAATGACCAGTAACCTCTAATCTTCTGGGAATATCTTCATGGATATACATGTCTTTGAATTTATTTTAGGTATCTCCTAACAGTCGAATAGGATCTAGATCTCATGAGGAAATGAACAATTTCAGTGGCGTCAGCCTACAAAAAACGACAAAAATGCGAATGAGTCTGAAATATTACAAACAATATTAACAAGGCGGGAGGGCGGGAAAACGAACGGTAAACACGTCGGAAAGTGGAATGCGAAAGAGAGACAGAACGCATTCTATGCGGACGAATTTATAGTGTAGATTAACCAATCAGACGGTGCTAGAGAGCCCTGTAGAGAACTACAACATACCAGCGGAAAATACGTATAATACCCTTGTTTGCCTTAGAGTGAAATTCAAGAAGGCTTGCTCTATCAAGTCCACTGGGCTTGAGAGAGGTTTGAACTGATAGTGGCCAATTGATTACCTGATACTATTGGTTTCGTTTTAGGTTTGAGGTTAGTTGGAGGAAACTGGAACGGAGAAGGAGAGTAGAGATTTTGCACAATGGGGTCTGGGGAACTGTTTGTGATGACTACTGGGATATAAATGACGCGAGAGTTGTTTGCCGTGAACTTGGATATCCAGACGCTGTTAGTGCTCCACACTCTGCACACTTCGGTCAAGGACGTGGTCGAATTTGGTTGGACGATGTATCCTGCTCGGGAATTGAAAGGTCTATTGTAGATTGTGGGCACAGAGGATGGGGTGTGGAAAACTGCGGTCACGGTGAAGATGCATCGGTGATTTGTTCAAGTGAGTACAACCTTAACAACCTATGCATATATTGACAAATACACTGGTGTCTCTGGATGTGCTTTCATGCGTTATTCAGTATGCGAAAAAGCAAAGTAATATTAAGGCCTAGCGGAAGTGCAAAACACTGGAGAAAAAAACTACGTACCTACCTACTAGTTTGTTTCTTTTCATAAATATTTTTATCTAACCCTGACTGTGCATTTACCTCTCTAGCTAATGCATCTTTAATACCTACAACTATTTCACCAACATCAGGTAACGGAAAACTTCCTTTTTGATGTTTTTCTGCATTCAGTTTTAGAATTTTACAAACGCATTTTATTTTGTTCTTGTAGCAGAAATCTCAGTAGCGACAGTTTTTAGCTCCGTCCCAAGTGGTATCGGTAAGTCGTTTGACTATGCTTAACTTATAGTTAATCTGTACAGTATGCGTTCATTTTGAAAACTTATAAACCCTTACAGTGTTTTCAGAATTCATTTCTGTTGTTTGTAACGTTTGATTTAATGCTTGAAAGAAATAAGTCTTATTTCATTGACACAAACCTGTTATCTTACTATTCACAAGTAATTGAACGAGTTCCATAGATCTTCTCGACAAGATAACAAAGATATTTTATGGGTAGTTTTTCGTAATTTTGTTTGTTTTCAGCAATATCTCCAACAAAAAGTTCTTCTATTATGCCATTTACTATATCGAGTTCTGGTAAGTATAGATAATATCCTTGTTTGCCTTAGAGTGAAATTCAAGAAGGCTTGCTCTATCAAGTCCACTGGGCTTGAGAGAGGTTTTTTTTCCTGATTTAGGCCAGAAGCTCATTGAGGTTTTGCTTGATTGTGCTTACCACGTAAATAAAACAAAGTACACAAATTTTGAAGGAAACCGTTATTTTAGGGTAACATTAGTAATATACACAGGGCGGAGGGCGGGGGTAGGCGGTGGGGTGAGGGTAAAGATCGGGTAAACTTTCACTTCGCCCCATGTAGGGAAATCTGAGAGAGTTCTGGACTCTGGATTCCATGCAGTGGATTCCGGATTACTAGTTACTGGAATGATTCCAAACTTTTTCACTTGAACTTGAATTCTGGATTCCAATCGTTAGTGTGATCCGGGTTCCTTAAGAAGTAGTCCGGATTCCAAAGCCCAGGATTCCGGATTTCCTTACTTGGGGCGATCTACTAGGCTTGAGTGAGGTTTTGTTTTTTTTATAGGCCACTTGAGTAATTCTTCATCGAGGTCTACCCTAATTATGCTTATCACCGACAAAATCTGAAAGATACCGCTGTCTAGAGTAACATAAGTATTAACAAACCTTCAATTTTATGTTATTAGCATCACGCAGGGAGGAGACGGAGAGTGAGGATTACGCCATCCTCGGAGACCCTGGGGCAGTCAGTTTGGTCGGGAGAAAAGGCGGGACGAAAGTTTTCAAGTACAGGCGAAAGAGCCCCTGGGTACCGACCTATTTCCAAAAATTCAAGCGGATGCCGGCTCCTGATTGGGCACAAAAAATGCTTTGTATTATTGTGCCCAATCGGCGAACAGTTTCTCCTGAGTTCTTTTCGTGAGTTCGTACACGACGGCTATTACCTTCCCACACTTGCCCGGTTCGTTCACCAAGTTAGTGCGAGCAAGGGAAACTTGTATTTTCTACTATGCTAACCAGAAACGAAGGAGCTACCGATAAGTCGAAAAAACGTTTGGGATGCTATCAGCAGGAGCAATTCAATTTGCCCCGAGAATATTCTGTTTTTGACTCATCACAATGTATCGTAAATAGTAGGAATATAAAGATGCGGCGGCGAACAGCAATAGTTTGACAAGGCAAAACAACAACTTTGCACGTGCATCACACTTTGTTGTACATTTCTTTGCTGTGAACTACACGACTACCCGTGAAAATGCCTAATTTCATGTTTGGTGGAGGACGTAAACAAGCGATGACAAAATTCATTCTCTTCATGAACTTGGATATGTTGATAGAAATAAGCTCCAGAAGAGTTCGCTAAAAGCCTTGACAAAGTAAGCGAGTTAGAATAATCACGATGGAAACTAAAAAAATGCGAATTCCCTTTTCCATTCGACGTTTTCGTGGTTGTCAGCCGTCGAGGTATCTTTTAAAAATTCCCTAATATTTACGCAAGGCGTGAATACCTGTTGTAAGCTCAAGCTTGTATTTGTGGAAAAGCGTCTTTACTTTACGGGCAGACAGTATTTTGAAATCAGATGGGGATTTTATATCAAACTGAAAGATTCCTGACTGCGTGCATTTCTTTGGTGCATGAGCCAGACAAGCCGTGATCGAAACAATAGCCGTCGTGTACGAACTCACGACAAGAACTCAGGAGAAACTGTTCGCCGATTGGGCACAATAATATAAAGCATTTTTTTGTGCCCAATCAGGAGCCAGCATCCGTTTGAATTTTTGGAAATGTTCGGTGAGAGTCGGTACCCAGGGGCTCTTTCTCCCGTACTTGAAAACTTTCGTCGCGTTCTTTCTCCCGACCCGACTAACTGTCCCTAGGTCTCCGAGGATGGGATTACGCAAACTCTCACTTCTCCCCTAAATAGTCTGAAAAGGAGTTAAAATCATGGCTTGACCTAATAAGTTTAGCCTGCGTTGCAGCCGCCCACGCACTCGCCTAAACCATTTAGAAGGTTTAGAGCGTCTGCGACGCAGGCAAAATACGTTCTGTAGTAATTAAGAGCGGATATCAGTAAATATCGACCAGGGGCCGGTTGCTCGAAGCCTGGTTAGAGCTAACCGTTGGTTAAGAGGTCGGTATAGGTTTCCATGGTATTTAACTCTGGTTAGCACTAACCATGCTTCGAGTAACCCGGGCCAGAGGTCTACAAAAGTGAAAAATCGAAAATTCTCAAAAAAATTCACAAAGTAGCACTAGGTAAGCTATTAACATAAATGTAATTTTTACTTCGATCCGATAATTATTTTCAACGTACGGGGGAGTTATTGGTTTCGCGGCTCGAGGGACCGGGTTTTCCAGGGCCGAGACCATGTGTCACAAAGAGATCGTTTTAAAATTCAAATCCATTGTAATGCGGACAACAAATAACTTCTTCAGAAGAGTACATAATTGCACACATTTTAAGTGTTGATTTACTTAGTTTGAACGAAAATGTAATATTTTGGAGATTTTTCATTATTTTCAATATTTTGAACGTGTTCGTTCAATGAAAAAATGGCAAATTTCAGAGCCCAAAATCGCCAACTGGTACCTCGATTTCAGTAACGAGTCTTATACCACGTTAAGGAGCGTTATCTCTTCTTTCAAAAGCTGTTTTCAAAACTATAGGCAACTGAAAAGAAAATTTTTGAGGCCAAAAGATACAAGTAGTACTTTTCTGAAAATTGAGCTTTCCAGACTCAGCGGGCCGATGCTAAAAACTCAGAAAAATGCAATAAGAAATCAGTTTGAGCAACAGTGGTTTAACGTTATCAGCTATCAGAAACCAACACGTGTTTTTCGAGCGATCTAATAAAATTTAAAGCCGTTTTTCAACAAGAAAAGCAGAATTTAGCCATCATCTTCTACCAAACGCAAGAGTCACGTAAGGTTGTCAAAGGGTAAAGCACAATAATAAATTTCAAAAAGCACAGCGTTCTGCGTCCAGGAATTAGACTTCAGCGGACAGAACAATGCCTCCTAGATATTGGAAATAAAAAACATCAAGGACAGCATCGGCAAGAGCATCTTCGGCTGCTCTCAAACGACGGAGATTGCGTTACTTTTCACAGATTGACCGCTTACCACCTGTTTTCGGGCTCGCATTTCGAAGGAACGCTTGCCTCGAGACGGGCGTTACGAAATACATCAAATGTATGACGAGACATTGAACTGAATTTATCGGAAATATGCCACCACCACAAACAACACGAGATTTTTTCGGGTATTTGTCGTTTTTTATACGAAAAGTTCGGGTAAGGAGATTCACGCAAAAACCATTTGGCTTAAAAAATGTGTTTGAAACCCTGGATTTGAAGCAAAAAGTATTTTCATCGAAGTAAGCTAAAAAAAATACCCAATTCACGCGGTGAAAAAATGGATGATTATGGAAGGATTATCGAATTCTTGCCTAACCTGAGGGTTTTCTCAATTTCCCGTGATGTAGGATTAGGGGTAGGAAAAAAGCCCATAACCTGCTCCTGTCGTTGTGAATTTCCTCAAGATCAAAAATTTCAGTAAGAACCGAAAAAAACAGCTTAAAGGAGGTGCACACACCTTGACCTAGCCAGGGAAAAGGGGCTTCTGATTGAGCTAAACTGTCATTGATGCACGGTGCAATTAGTTAGACCTGTTACTATCCCTCGCGCAACCACGGGAACAAGTCCAGCCATTTGGGCCCGGGGTTAAGGAATACTTTGAAGCGGTCCTGTCGGGGACTTTCGGGGGTAGGGGTTGGGGCAAATCGAAAATAACTTCTCTTTTTTTTGTTAAGTACATCATTTCTAGCACGGTTGACAAGGTGACGGCGGACTCCGTAGCTGTGGAAAGGCCGTTTTGAAACATTTCCCGGCAACATGCAGGGCATCACGAAATTGACGTCAACACCTTGAATCAACTCCATGAACAGGGAGAGGCGATAAGTCCCATCTTAAAAGATGCTTGATGTCTAGACGTGAATAGTCTGTCCGCAGTCATTTTTCATTTTGTATATCGGGACCATTTGACAGCGCACGAGTGAACCGGAGCGCAGAAACGAGCCCTAACCCCACCCCATTGCCCTTGCGGTCAATAAATCATCGCGTGTTTCATTTTTTTTATGCGCGTTCGAGAACCTCCAAAGGGAATATTGAGGTCTTTGTACAGTTTCAGTTTATTTTAGCGACGAAAAAGAATAAAACAAAGGAAAAGACAAGTATACAGAAATACGCAGAAGCAATGTGGGGAGGAAGCCCAAAAAGAAACCATAAGGCTTAGGTCAAGGCCCCTTTTCGTTCGTTTAGCGTCGAATAGGTTTCCTGGGTTTGGGTCGGTCGTTGGGGTGAAAAAAAATCACAAGAAATCTGAGAACAGGAGGCCTGAAACACCAGCATCATTGCCGTGGAGCCTGAAAACAAAAAGACATGGTTACCAAATCGACACAAACACAATATGGCGGAAAATGTGATGGTCTATTTCATAAAAAAAAAGGCCCAAAAAGGGTAAAAAGCAAAAAGGATACACCACTGAACGTTTTATGCCTGGAAATGCTGTTATAATGCTCATTTTTAGATTAAAAGAATTAATTTCAGTCCAAAAAAAAATAAACCTTGTCGTTTCTTTTTCTTGCTTTTTTAAAAAATGCCAAAAAAACTGGGTCTGTTAGACTACACTAAACGAAGAAAAAATTAATATAGGTATTAAGCTCCCTTAAAGTATAAAAGTATAAGTTTACAAGGACAGGATCGAACGTATACTGAGTAACTAAATGATAAAAATTTGATCAAAATTAAATGAAAGGCTAAGAGTCTAAGCGCTGTCTGATAACGAAACGGTAAACAAGAAGTGCTGCCTGTCATGTAATAGAGACGTGGAATACTGGGTGGACCACATCCTGAACTTGTGCGAAAACCGCAAGAGAGGAACGCTCAGGGCTAAGGAGACTAAACAGGGGCGTAGCTACTTGAACGCACGGTTCGCACGAGCGTACCCGAAAACGTTGAGGAGAAAAAATAGAATGAAATAAACATAACTAAAAAAATCGGTTTTTAGAGAAGCGACGACATTAATTGGATAACCGAATCTTGCATGAGTTATTTATATAGCAAGCTTGATGATGTAAAGCGTGAACGCGTTGTTTTCTCCACGACCTGTCTTTGGAGTAGACGAAGTAGGGCACAATTACGTCAATGTGTGGTGCTTTTGTCGGTCAAAAATAATGTGACAAAAAGGGGTAAAAAGAGCTAGTCATTTGTAAACTAAAGTCGGAGGTACTAGTCAAGCTTGATTTTTAATAGCTGAATTAATGATAAACGGTTGACGTCAATGAACATAACAAGCCAACAGAATTAAAGAATTTTAGAGGTTGTGTCATTTCATAAACAGCAAAAATGCTTTTACTTACAACCGTTAACCCCACCTTTAATAAAGGCACCTTAGAAAAATGTTGAGATTTGGGGTGGGGGAGGGGGGGGCGAAGACGATGTAGAAAAAGTTGGGCGTACCTCCGGAAAAATCGTGACTACGCACCTGCTAAAGCCTGAAACTGAACAACAGGAGTCTTGACGAAACGTCCTCAGTTATCATCTGTCCGGGGTTGTACTTTCAAGGAAGCGCTGATCAAGAATCACTAATGACGGAATGAAAGCTCCTCGTATCGCGTAGCTTCCAGCGAAAAAAGGAGTGACAACAGTGGTAAACAGTGGTAAGCGGTCGTTTTGTGAAATGTAACGCAATCTTTGCCGTTTACGATCTTTCGGCGCTTGGATTTAAAACGTTGTTGTTTGGTATGTTCTCCCGTGTGGATACTTGACATTTCCAATATACGGAAACACCATGCTAAGGTACGAACAACAGACATTTACAACATTGTTTTGTACGCTAAAATCTGAGTTTAATATTGGTGCTTTGCACTCCCTTTGACAACTTCACGTGACTGGTGCACTCGGCAGGAGTTGACAGCTTAAATCTGCCTTTCTTGATAGCAAACGGCATTAATTTATATCAGATCGCTGTATAAACACGTCTTGGTTTCTGAAAGCTGATAACATGAAACCACTGTTGCTCAAACTGATTTCTTATTGTATTTTTCCGAGTTTTTAGTATCGGCCCGCTGAGTCTGGAAAGCTCAAATTTCAGAAAAGTACTACTTGTATCTTTTGGCCTCAAAAATTTTCTTTTCAGTTGCCCATAGTTTTGAAAACAGCTTTTGAAAGAAGAGATAACGCTCTTTAACGTGGTATAAGACTCGTTACTGAAATCGAGGTACCAGTCGACGATTTTGGGCTCTGAAATTTGCCATTTTTTCATTGAACGAACACGTTCAAAATATTGAAAGTAATGAAAAATCTCCAAAATATTACATTTTCGTTCAAACTGAGTAAATCACCACTTAAAATGTGTGCAGTTATGTACTCTTCTGAATAAGTTATTTTTTGTCCTCATTACAATGGATTTGAATTTTAAAACGATTTTTTTGTGACACATGGTCTCGGCCCTGGAAAACCCGGTCCCTCGAGTCGCGAACCCACTAACCCCCCCGTACGTTGAAAATAATTATCGGATCGAAGTAAAAATTACATTTATGTTAATAGCTTACCTAGTGCTACTTTGTGAATTTTTTTGAGAATTTTCGATTTGTCACTTTTGTAGACCTCTGGTCGATATTTACTGACAGCCGCTCTTAAGTGTCTTTAGTGCCTTGTTAGAGACCAGTAAGAAAACAAACAAAAAGCTACTGCAAAACATTAAAGATATTGTCGCAAAAAATCGAATAAAAAATGGTGGCTTTTTCTTAACAAGAGATCAAAGAGAGGATAGAGCTTTGAAAATTTATTGCATTTAAAATTATAATAAGTTTTAAAAACGGAGCTAAGAGATTCCGCCGATAAATTCTTGGTGTAGTGTAATGGAAAGTAGTCTTTTTTAATGGTGCTGTATGATTCAAAAAAATGAAGTGAAAGAAACACTGGGACAAAAACATTTTTTTATTCTTTCTTCTTTCCTCTTTTGTTTATTCATTCAAATTACTCCCAGAATGCTACAGTTACGGTTACCTGAATGACTCGGTAAGAGCACAAAGCTTCTACAACGGATTTCATGGTTATTATCAGTGTGATAATAACCTTCCTTTTGGATGGTATCGATTTAGTGGGGCAGCAGGAACTCAAATGGCCACTAGTTGTGTTGGAAAAAATCGCTGCAGCTCGCACGCGCCGGGATGGTTAAGTACCGCGCACCCTTCAGAGGATGATGGGATTGTCAATGGTACAGTCTGCTTCCACTGGTTTAGTAGCTGTTGTCACTGGTTGACGAATATACGAGTTCGTAACTGTAATGGGTTTTATGTGTATGAGCTTGGACCACCCCCAACATGCCGGTTACGTTACTGTGGAAACGGAGGAGGTATGTCGCATCTTTAACAACAAACCGGCAAGATATGGCCTGTGTGGCAGGCGGAAACAAATGGTCCCTTTTCATCTCTCCCCAACCCCTTCTCCCTTTTCCCTCCCTTACCCATTTTTGCGTCTGTCGCGCAGGCTAGAAAAGTATAACAACCATTTTCTTTTTCTTACTAAGAATCTCTGTTAAATTTCCTTGACAGCTTATAATTCATCTTCAAGTCTTGACAGGATTTCCCCAAACGCAGGTATTCAATGTTCGCTTTTTTTCAAATGAAAACATGACCCAAGTTTAGAGTAACTAATCTGTAAGGTCAGTAGGGTTTGAGTCCACATATTGAAAGTTATTCATTTTAAGACCAAAGTAGATACAACTTTCTTGCTCACCTATATGACTGTTTCTCTTTAACTTGCAGCTATGTCTCCAACAGTTACAGCTTCTTCCTCAGTCTCTTCCTTTGGTAAGAAAGTTAGGTCGCTTCAATATTACACCTTGTAATGACGCGTCCTTTTTTTTAACTACTTACCTTCCTACTGGTTTGTTTCTTTTCATAAATACATTTATCTAATCCTGCGCATTTACCTCTATAGCTAATGCATCTTCAATACCTACAGCTATTTCACCGACATCAAGTAACAGAAAATTTCCTTTTTGATTTTTCCTGCATTCAGTTTTAATTAGAATTGTAACAAACACATTTTATTTTGTACTTGTAGCAGAAATCTCAGTAGCGGCAGTTTCAAGCTCCGTCCCAAGTGGTAGCGGTAAGTAGTTTGACGATGTTCTATGCTTAACTTACAGTAATCTGTACAGTATGCCTTCATATAACAGATATTACCAAGGATTTTTAGTTTTCGGATTGGTGGTGAACCCTGGACATTTTCAAACGGTTTACCCTGTAAACCTTTCGTTCTTTCCATTCCAAGGAACTTGTGCAAAATCTGAAGCCCCCCCCCGAATGGATTTCCATGGAAACAACGTAAACAGACGGTTTATACAGAGTCGGAAAAATGAAGAAAGGAAGTTTTAAGTTACTTTTAATTCCACATTTATTTCTACATATTCCTAACCTGATTTCTGGTCGGCTGTCTTGTACTGTCTGAGGATATATCGATATCGTGCGTATGAGGATTGGAATGGGACGGAGAAAATTAGGCCGCGAAAAATTCTTACCTGTCATTGTTTTTTTTTTTTCTCCTTTCCCCACTTTTCAGACTTTTTCCAAAGGTCGAACACCTTTTAAGGAAGTTAAGCTAATATTTCCCAATTCGTTTTTGCACAGCTAGTCAAATTGCTCCTTCTTCATCGTCTGATTACTATCCACCATCCAGTTCGTATGCGCTTCCACCTCCTTTGGGCTTCCACTTTCATGTGCCAGCGGATTGTGATCAAATCTGCACCAACACTCAAGGCAGCTATAGCTGTTCTTGTGTCAGTGGTTATCGACTGTCCTCTGATGGAAAATCCTGTTTAGGTAAGGTCTCACGTTAAAATAGATGTGCTTATAATGAGATCATCTAGGATAATTCAAAGAACCAAGTAGAAGCGTGTGGGTGAGATTAGTGGCGCACTAATAATTCATACAACCTACTGAGGTCTACATGCGCTGTGACTGATTATCGCATCCTCGGAGACTCAGGGGCAGTCAGTCGGGCCGGGTTAAAAGGCGCGAAGAAAGTTTTCAAGCATGGGCGGAAGAGCCCCTGGGTACCGACTCTCACCGGACCATTTCCAAACGGTCAAGAGAATGCTGGTTCCTGATTGGGCACAAAAAATGCTTTGTATTATTGTGCCCAATCGGCGAACAGTTTCTCCTGAGTTCTTTTCGTAAGTTCGTACACGACGGCTATTATCTCGCCACAGTTGCCCGGTTCGTTCACCAAGCTTTCCTAACCAGAAACAAAGGAACTACCGATGAGTCGAAAAACGTTTCGGATGCTATCAGCAGGAGCAATTCAATTTGCACTGAGAAACTGAATTCTGTTTCTGACGGATCACAGTCGTAAATAATAGGAAGTTTAAGATGAAGCGGCGACGAGAAAGTAAAAAAAGCAATAGCTTGCATTGAGAAGGCAAAACAACAACTTGCATCACGCTTTTTTGTATATTTCTTTGCCGTCACTGCACGACTACCACGTGAAAATGCCTAATTTCACGTTTTGTGAAGGGCGTAAACAAGCAATGACAAAATTTTCTCTCTCTTTATGAACTTGGATATGGTTGATAGAAATTCAGCTCCAGAAGAGTTCGCTTGCATTTGACAAAGTAAGTGCGCTGGAATAATCACGATAGAGACTGAAAAAATGTGAGTTTACTCTTCATGCGACGTTTTCGTGGTTGTCAGCTGTCGTGGCATATTAAACTCCCTAATATTTACGAAGGCGTGATCGATGCAAGCGTGAATACCTGTTGTAAGCTCAAGCGTGTATTTTTGGAAAAGCGTCTTTAGTTTTCGTGTAGAAAGTGGTTGTCTTTACACTAGGCTGTTAAGTTTTACTTAACCAAAAATGCGTGTGTGATTAGGCCTATGCAAAATCTCAAGTAACTTTACTTTGCATCTCATTGAAGTCGGAAAGTTGAAACGATTCAAGAAGGTTTCAAGTCACTTGAAAACTATCCTTAAAACCGACTTAAGCGAACTTGCGGTTTCCAAGCTTTGAGAAAGGCGAAGCATGTCAATCAATCTTAATTACGTTGCGTGGGAAAACTTGAAGTAAAAAAGATAGGTTGTGTGTGAAGCTTTCTTTTACTTGAAGAATTTAAAATTTACTTGTCTTGAAATATTTCTTGGCTTCTTTAGGCTCTAGTGTAAAGACTACCAGTATTTTGAAATGTAGCGTTTATATCAAACTAAAAGATTCCTGACTGCGTACATTTCTTTGGTGCATGAGCCGGACAAGCCGTGATCGAGTCAATATATTTAGCCGTCGTGTTCTAACTCACGAAAAGAACTCAGGAGATACTGTTCGCTGATTGGGCACAATAATACAAAGCATTTTTTTGTGCCCAATCAGGAGCCAGCATTCGTTTGACCGTTTGGAAATGGTCCGGTAAGAGTTAGTCTGCTACACAGCTGTTTTTAGAGTCGTCACGCAATGCTCCTCCCCACTAACGGCTGCTGAAAAGCGAACTACATTCCTTTCCCGTGATTAGCCAATTATAACTCAGCTCCCATTTTCTGGAATGTGTTCGCGCCACGTTTGCGGTACTGTGACTCCTCCAATCACCGCTTTGCTTTTATCGGTGCTCCATGTGTGAATGACAGAATAATCAAAATCGTCGCGTGAAAACAAGCAATTAACTACAGTAGTGTTGTCGTAGTCGAGTCCTATTCAAAATTTAGGAGATAAGCAGCAGCAGCCAGCAAGTCGAGCAAATTGCGATGCACAACATGGATGTTCTTATAAAGTTGCCAGGTATAGTTTCGTTAAATCGCTCATCGATAATTTAGAAGATTGCTTTTTGAATCAGTACCCTTGAGAGTTTAGTCTTCACAGGAACACAATGAGCACATCCGGCACATTAAATTCTTCATTACATATCAGTACATGTGCACGTTAAACTGAAGAACCAACCGATCCTGGTAAAAGTCTTCTAGGCCTATCAAACCTTTTTTTCACTTGGAACTTTCTTGACCGCTTAAAACAAACGTTTTCGCCAATTAACCTTTTCGTTGCTTGAAAGCACAGAGCCCGTCTAAATTCAGCGACGATTGATTGATTTGTCGAAAACTGAGAAGCGTGCTCGCTTCCTAGCGCCCTGCGGCTCACGTATTGTCAAATTTCTTATACATGATTGGCTTGTTCGTTAGACCACAAACACAAAGGGAAAGGAATGTAGTTCGGTTTTCCGCAGCCGTTTGTGGGGAGGAGCGTTGCGTGACGACACTAAAAACGGCTGTGTAGCAGACTAGGTAAGAGTCTGTACCCAGGGGCTTTTCCGCCTGTTCTTGAAAACTTTTGTCGCGCCTTTCCTCCCGGCCCGACTGACCGCCCCTGGGTCTCCGAGGATGTGATTATCGTTGCCTATACACCGAATGAAAATATGGCGGACCTCTCGGCCGGCCCGGGTCTAGTTGCGCGAAAGCGAGGCTAGTGAGGCCTCAAGAGTTTTGTTTTGACTGCGCGTCTTGGCGATTGAGTTGATCGATATGGTTTGCTTCGAGTTGTTGCATGCCTGAGGGCCACCAAAAAGAATATTTTACTCTAGCTGGAATAGCCTTTACTTTCCCCAGATCTTTTCACAAAGAAAATTAAGGATTCATGCGATTCGGCGCGGCGATGGGAAGCACTTTACAGCGAAAGTGTGCTCGCTTCACTTGCTTTAGATGAGAGGACTCACGAAAGTATTTGAATGAAATAATTTCACAAGAGATGGTGCTGTTCCAAGATGTTTGCATGGTCTGTTATTCATACAACAAAAGGTAAACATTCTCGGGAACGGGAGCATTCGCTGTGGACTGTAAGATCTTTTAGATTTCACGCTGAAAACAACTGCATTAAAATATAACAACAACAATAACAATCGTCTGTTAATCCTACAAGCGTGGCCTGTGAAACTATGTAAGAATTAGAAGAAAGCGACATATTTCAAGAACAGTCCTTGACCAAAGTGCACTGAAAAAACTAACAGAGGAACCGTTGCCAACTAAGAAAGTAAGAAGAAGGAAAAAGGTTCTGGCAGAGAAAGAGCGTGCAAGTATTCGAGCATTGTATTTGACCTTGCGCGTGATCTATTTTAGCAACTTTTCGAATGGTTTAGAGATAAACTAACAGCGATATTCCAAAAATTGCTTCTTTTATGGCACTTCTCAAACTCTTGAACACAGGATCGTGAAGACTGTGAAAACATTCGGCCTTGTTGTCTGTCGTTGTGTCCCTGAGAGCGCCTAAAGATTGGTAAGTCGCGACGGCGGAATCACTCGTTCTCGAGGATATTTACTTTTCCTTGGTAAGAGAACGGACAAAGCAAACTTAAAACAGAACCATGAATCTTTCAGTTATTCGCCCATTCCAATAGTTTCGTGAGTCTTCTCTTCTGAAGTGAAGCGAGCAAACTTTCGTTCTTTTAACTCCGTGATAGAAAAGTGCCTCCATTCGCCACGCCGAATTGCTTGGATCCATTTCTTTCTTCGTAAAGAACCTTGGCAAAGCGAAGATAATCAACTTTCGTCTCTGCTGGAGTTAAATCTCCTCTTTGATGGCTCTTAAGCACGTAACAACTCGAAGGAAGCCATATTCATCGACTGAATCGCTAAGCCCCGCAGTCAAAACAGAACTCTCGAGGCCTCACTAGGCTCGCTTTCGCGCAACTAGACCCGGGCCGACCGAGAGATCCGCCATATTTGCATTCGGTGTATGATCTATTTAACTAGTAATAATCAAAGGTTACGGAGTGCGGGCGACAACGATCGAAGGTTAAAACGCTTTTGCGTAAGTTTCACGTGGCAGATAGTCAAAACACGCGTGATCAGATTTCGAGTGATCGAAAGTCCAAACGCGCGTGATCAAATTGCGTTATGTGCATTCCATTAATTCTTAGTGCAAGTCCAAACGAATGCTGGCTACATACATGCGACGCTTGCGTAAAAACAACCTGGAGATTGGGATTGTAGACTCCTCTTGTCGCCCGCAACAATTAGACTACGAGTTCGAGTCAACACGAGTCAGTAGTCAACCAGGCACGTAGCACCGAGTTGACTATGCGAGCAGTGACACTCACGAAACGAGAACCAGCATTATAGTATACAACTATCCCTCGAAGGGGAGGTGATATATACCTCGACGCGAAGCGTGGAGGTATATATCTAGCGCTATAAACCCACCCTGAGGGGGATAGTTGTTTTAGTATTTTCTAAATAAGTCGGATAAAATCAAAAAGGAACTTTTTGTAAATAAAAGGCGTCACTTAGTTAGAGTTTGTTTACGTTTCAATTGACAGTGTTTCGGCGATCATTTTTTATGATTATTTTGCAAAATCAGTAAGAAAGTTTTTTTTCTACCGACCAGTAAACGCCAACAAGCCAAATTTTGTCTCTTTTTTGGTATTTGTTGGTGTAGCTGCTTCATTCACCGCTAAAATTTCATCTTTTGAAACCGTTTCGAAAAGAGAAGCCATTTTGAATCCCGTCCCAAAACAGTGAATATCCAAGGATATTCCGAGTTACGGTAGCCAATCAAAACGCACGAAAATTGCTATCCACTGATTTGATGAATACTAAGAGCCATTTTCTGAGAAAATCGAGAATCGCAAGACACTCGTCAAAAAATCGAATTTTTTACTATTTTGCCAAAACATCCCTTTTAGTGACCTAATTTAAGGAAAAATAGTTTTGGGTTCAAACGATTCATTTTAAAGGAAAAATTAAAAAAAGTTTGAAAAATCGATTTTATTCCTGTTTTTCGAACAAAACACGGCAGGATGCAATGGCAACTTCGAGAGAAGGGTGAACGCGTAAGAAACATTCCCCGACACTGAAACTTCACCGAATTATTATTTTGTTCTTACTCCTGAAAACCTTAAAAGAAAATTTGAAAAACAATGTCTTTTATTTTTATAATCGACAAGTCTAAAGAGGTCATATTTGTGACGTTAGACATGCTAGAAAACGAAGGCCAACTTTGACTATTAAAAAAGGCCTCTGGTATATGCCGCTTGCTCATAAAATCAATATAAAATGGAACCTTGGCGTTTGCACTAACTTACTGGAAAGTTTTAGCTCTGGAAATCAAATACCATCCTGACACCAAAGCAAGCGGTGAGAGCAATTGAATTGGGAAATTTATGCAAATTAGACGGCTTGCGGACGGTTGTCAAACTAAAAGAAAGGTTTTACATGAAAGGATTACTCACCATTGCTTGTAACACGTTTTTACGGCAAGGAAAGTTATTTCCAACTTTTGTTGCGTCGGTTTGAGTCACAAAATCCATAATTTTAAGCCAAAAGGTCCAAAAGACAAACGTACGTTTGCTCAGCGACTGCGCCAGAATCCGGCCGTGAATCGAAATAAAGTCACAACACGTCACTGCGGTCCTTGAGAAGAAAGAGTTGCAAGAGTTTTTACTCCAGTCAGGAGGCCAAAATTAAAAAGATTGAAAATTCATCGCAAACTAATGACTTCGATTTTGAAAACCTTTCATCACTTCAATCGTTCGTCGGCTGATGATAAACATCGCACAAGATAGTATGACCTTTGGGGTGTGACCGGAAATCGGTCACACGCTTAAGTCACGTTAGCATACTGTCACGAATTTTAATACGATTTTTCACGTTTGCTTTCGACAAAAAATAGACTCATCGAAATAAAATCAGGCTTGCTTTATTTTTTTTAAATTTCTTTTATAGCCTGCAGAACTTGTTTCCCATGCATCGCGCGTGTCTCGCGCCCCCAGTCAGCTTCGCAGTGCTAGCGTGAAAAGCGCCAAAGACTGAAATTGACTCCTGTTCTGCAGTTGATTTCTTTTATAGACACCTTCTAGGCATTGACAGGCTGTGGAAAAAGTGTTTATTATTATTATTATTATTATTATTATTATTATTATTTTTTGAAGTGCTACATCATTTTCCTATAAATTTCAAACGTGACTGTTGAAAGACTGTTTGGAACCCATGGATGGAGAAAAGCTGTGCCGGAGAGAAGGTCAACCTCCCAGCCGAGCCAACTTTTGCGAGCGTTTATATGAGGAAAAAACTGACCACTTTGTCCGAGTCAACAGTGCTTGCGCATGCTGTCTTTGTCTAGCCTTGACCGTGTTGTCCCAGCTAGCTGGGCGAGCCAAAGTGGAGAAATATTAGCCGGGCTAGAAGGGTGAGGCCACCACTACCGGCTCAGTGGAGGGCTGACTTGGGAAGCCTTCAACCCCGCCCACTACTGGTAGTAAGGCGTCTATCCGAACCAACCTTTTGTTTCTCATTTAAATGGTTTACCAAGTTTTGTAAGGAAATGGAGGAAAAGTTGGCTCGCCCAGGGTAGCTTGGGAGGTGAGTAAACACCAGATAACCCCAATAATAAGCACAAACTTTGATTGTCAGTTAGATGTCCACTATTTTAAGTAAGCGACCTGGGATGTGATTGTCGCATCCATGCCCCCTTCCAGATCCCCTTCATTATCGGTAAGCCTCTGATAGGTCAAAGTAATACAGTCGTGCCTCCAGTAAGCGACCACCAAAAATGCAAAGACTTAGTGGTCTCTAACGGGAGGTGGCCGTTTAGAAGAATCGGACCAGGGAGGCAGCGTGGCCGAGTGGTCAGCGCGTCGGACTCGCAATCCGGCGGTCCCGGGTTGGAGTCCCGCTCTGGCCACTTGCTGGATTTGTGCTCGGTCGTCCCGAGTTTAAATTCTCGACCACGCTTGTAAATAGCCAACTGGTTGCCTTCTGCCAGTTGGGGTTTTTAATCCTGTTATGTTGTATTTGAATTATTTGTTTTTAAATATTTGAGTGGAGTGCCTGTAAATTAGCTGACTAGCTAAGTGCACCTTCCACTATAAACATGTCTTTAACTTTTTTTTATGGGGTCTATTCCGAGAAGAGGTCCAGGCACATTCTATTAAATGGCGGTGTAACAAATTCCTGGCAAAATATTATCTTTTACCTCTTTTGACAAATACAGCTTTTAAATCATGCTCAATTTAAAGAGGGATTCAGGTGAGTGAGATATAGAATAGTCTAGAATCACAACAGAATCTTCACTTTGTTGGCTACATCTACTAAGTTAGGATATGTGTAGTTCCACGATGTCACTAAAGGTCTTCATATTTTCTAAGGAACATAGTACACACAGCAAAAATAGAGAGCAGAGAATGCGTCAACTGGTCGCGATCGCTTATGGAAAACAATTAACCGTGACGCCCAAAAAGTGGTTGCAGTCACTTACAGAAGGTGGTCGTTTACTGGAGGTTCCAACTGTAAGGCTTTGACTGGGAAAATTTGGTCTTTTGGATTGGCGTTCGCACATGGAGGTTCGACTGTGTTAGGTCTATTAGAGTATAAGCCACCATCACCTCACTGTGAGTGACGAGAGCCCGGAAAGTATGGTATACACTCCCTTAGGATACACAGAATCGTTGTTTTGAGGTCCCGTTTAGCGAAATGGATCATTCAAGGGAGGTGCTGAAGTCCCATAGTGAAATTTATAAGGTTTATGGGTTTTTAGTGCAAGGCGAAACACAATACTTAGGGCCCTGTTGTTCAAACGTTGAACGACAGGAAATCACTATCAAGCGAATCAGAAGAAGCAATTGCGTTACTTATTGGATATAGATTTATCCAGGGGAAAGCGTTAGTCCCGGGGGCGTTAGTCAACTTTTCGAACATACAGCCCCTCAGTCACTCTCCTCCGCAGACTTACCCCGGGTAGACTTCGAGTAGTCCTCCATTTTTTCTCAGGGATAGTAGAGCGAGCGAAACGAGAGGGCGCGTGAAAATTACCCCACGCGAGAACAGGCACGCGCACTCGCGTTTCGCTCGCTCTACTATCCCTGAGGAAAAATGGGGGACTACTCGTAGTCCATACCCTGGGCGACCAGGATAGGGGAATATAATACTCGACCTTCCTTGCATCATCGCGAGAGCCTATAGCCTTCACTTTCTTTTGGCTCGTCCTACAATCCTACCTAACGTTCGTGGGACAGGAAAGTCTGCGTGCGAGGCTTGGGAATCTAGGGAGACTTATGGTAGCATGGTGCAAATAGCCGGGATGAGCTACCAGTTGTCCACACGAACCAAGAGGATTGGGTCTGCTAGAAGAAATCAGGTGTAGCTTTCTGTGATAAGTAATATTCCAACAGTATAGGATCATAGTTTGAAGCCATTTCACAATCACTAGTTTCCGCGCACCTCTACCGGCGAGTTGTGGACAAAAGCAGCTGATAGCTGTATACGAACCTTTTTTCCACAAAATGGTTTCTGGGTTTTCGTATTCGACAGTGTCATGTATTGATTTTTTTTTTAAATCTTAATCGAGGTCTTTTTTATTATGTACTGTCTATCTGACTGACTGTTTCTTTGTGTTTTTTTTTTCTGGTAATAACAGGTTTCATAATTTGGTCGTGGTTGGGGTTATAGGCTCCTGCTGATCGTGAGCAAATAGCGAAAAAATTCGAACAAGCAAAACCAAAGTGAACTATAGCGTTGAATCCGTTGGCCACGGAGAATTGGTATTATTCTGCAAGTCCTTTACTACAGCAAGAGAGTATACTCCCTTGACTATGGGACATTGGGCCGGGGGAACTTAGTATTTTGACCCGGCATAGGGGAGGAGGGGAGGGGGAGGGGGAGGGGAGGGGGTACTCTGGCCAGATTCCAAGTCACGGGGATGATTGAAGTATGTTTTTTTCTTGGTTTGAAAATATTTTGAACAATTTTTTTTTTTAGCTGGGGCTTTACTTAAGTATTCAAAATATTCGTTGTTTTTTGGTCTTAATTTTCACTTCCACGGATCGCTCACGACACTTGGAATCCGAGTTACCCCTCCTGTTTAGTACGTCGAAGGCAAAAAAGCTGTTTCAAAGCCTAGTAGGTAAATAAAAGAAAAATAAATATGCATGGCTGTTTCTACTGCGATGAGAGGATTTCTTGTCAAAAAATGTGAAAACTGTGTTAAAATTGCTGACAACAGCTACGAAAATTTCGTGACAGCATGCTGACGTGACTAAAGCGTGTGACCAATTTCCGGTCACACGCCAAAGGTCATACGATCTTGTGCGATGTTTAGAATATCAGCCGACGAACGATTGAAGTGATGAAAGGTTTTCAAAATCGAAGTCATTAGTTTGCGATGAATTTTTATTCCTTTTGCCTCCTGACTGAAGTAAAAACTCTCGTAACTCTTGCTTCGACGTGTTGTGACTTTATTTCGATTCACGGCCGGATTCGGACGCAGTTGCTGAGCAAACGTACGTTTGTCTTTTGGCTGAAAATTATATATTTTGTGACTCAAAACGACGCAAAAGAAGTTGGAAATAACTTTCCTTGCCGTAAAAACGTGTTACAAGCAATGGTGAGTAATCCTTTCATGTAAAACCTTTCTTTTAGTTTGACAACCGTCGGCAAGCCGTCTAATTTGCATAAATTTCCCAATTCAATTGCTCTCACCGCTTGCTTTGGTGTCAAGATGATATTTGATTTCCAGAGCTAAAACTTTCCAGTAAGTTAGTACAAAAGCCAAGGTTCCATTTTATATTGATTTTATGATCAAGCGGCATATACCAGAGGCCTTTTTTAATAGTCAAAGTTGGCCTTCATTTTCTAGCACGTCTAACGTCACAAATATGACCTCTTTACACTTGTCGATTATAAAAATGTAAACCATTGTTTATCAAATTTTCTTTTAGGATTTTCAAGAGTAAGAACAAAATAATAATTCGGTGAAGTTTCAATGTCAGGGAATGTTTCTTACGCGTTCACCCTTCTCTCGAAGTTGCCATTGCATCCTGCCGTGTTTTGTGCGAAAAACGAGCATAAAATCGATTTTTCAAACTTTTCCTAATTTCTCCTTTTAAATGAATCGGTTGAACCCAAAACTATTTTTCCTTAAATTAGGTCACTAAAAGGGATGTTTTGGCAAAACAAAAAAAAATTCGAATTTTTGACGAGTGTCGTGCGATTTTCGATTTTCTCAGATAATGGCTCCTAAGAGCTTTTATCACTCATGCTACCTTCAATTTGATACCAAGTTTTGATGAAAATATTATATATAAACCTCTGTTTACACAACTTTCGTTCGCGAAAGAAGTTGCCACAAAAGACAATTTATGGCCGATACTTAAATTATCTTATTTGCCAACTTGAAGCATTTATCTATTTTAGTTGTGATTCAGTAAGACCTTAAACATACTCTTCACAGATATTGACGAATGTTCTACGAACAACGGTGGCTGTAGCCATCATTGCTACAACATTCCTGGATCGTTTTATTGTGGATGCCCTCAAGGTACAACAATGGCCAGCAATAATTTGACTTGTGTTGGTAAGTTTGGTCGTGTCTCATAACAAGCAAAATTAACAGGCCATTTGCAAGATGACGTCATTTTACTACTACGACCAGAATCCTTCAGGATTTGCTTTCCTGTGTATATTAGCGCTTTTGTTAATTAAACCTCACTGCTCACTGGAATTAACAAATTTGTATATGAAAGCAAAAACGTAATGAATTTTGTTCGTAGTAGTAAAATTGACGCCATCTTCAGGCCAAATTTTTAATTAAAAAAAGTGCTAACTAGCGTATTCTGCTAAGATATTTTCTGCAACGAGATTTATCTTGATGCCTTGCTTATTTTAGAACCCGGCGTTTCAGTTGCATGTGACGAGAACAACATGAGCATTTCTTTGGAGAAGCAAACATTTCCATTTTTGAACGTCAGCAGTTTACATCTACGTTATGTTTCATGCAGGTAGTGTATAATTTTAGTACTGAATACAAGAGCTCATGAGTCGGTTTCTAAGAGGCTGATTAGCGCTAATCCGGGATTAAAATTTTTGTTCCGTATTTTACCTTGCTTTGTATTGCTTAGAATAACATTTTGTGTTAGCATTACTCAGTACCTCGGATCCGGAGTAAAGGCTAATCAATATTTTGCAAGGTCGAGTAGCATGTTTTTAGACGAAAAACATGGCTTAAAATTTGGCTTAATCCTGGGTTAAACTTAACCATCTTTTAAGGAACTGGGCCCAGCACTGAATGTACCGCCACCCGCACAGTTCAGTTGGGCGAGCGCCTGTCTGCCGGGCGGCAGGTGGTGGGTTCCTTTGACCAACTACGAGAGTCTTTTAGAACACTGGCGGTAAGATCACGCTACCTGTGAATATAGTAGATCTTGTCTCTGTTCAGATGTTCGCGTCATAAGATGTGACGGTTAGCCTTGTCTCCTTCATCCTTCTTTCATTGGTCAAATCATATAAAGGGGTCATAAATGACCCACACTAGTCTCATGTTGGAAAGAATAGAGATTTTTTCCTGGTGGTATGGTCAAGGTATGTCCAACCTTTATCTAATGGGCTGGGTGGGTTACAGTAGGGAGCTTAAGCTACTACGACGGCGACGGCTACGAAAACGTCGCTTAAAAAGTGAATTCGCGCTTATTCCATCTCGTTTAGTTCGTCGACCGGAGGCAAGCCCCTTTCTCTTTTAATTTGCCATGATGCTTCCAAATTTGTATTGGTAAGCGTTTACAGTCTCATAAAGACGATATGACGGAAACTCTGGGCAAAATCACTGCCCAAAAATGAAAACAGTCCACTTCCAGTTGACGTGCGTCGCTCAAAAACGTCTTTGTTTATTTTATAAGCTCACTAATATGTTATGCTGACGTCCGAGCTTACTGTTAACAGACCGTAAATCCCCTGTGAAGCCCCCCTCTCTCTAATAAGCCCCCCTACCGTCCCCCTTATTATTATACACTAATAAATGATAGGCTGTTTTAATCAATCAAAACTGTAAAACTTCTTTGGGACTGATCCAATATGGTTTATTCACCAACTGGAAGTTAGGATTTGTTTTTGATCCTCGGCTGCGTGACCTACAGCTGCACAACGTCTTGTACTTGAGCTTTTCCACTTTGCATTCTAGTTCGTTATGGAGAACTGATACTACATTAAATACGCACCCCATCTCTATTAAGCACTCCACCCCCCTGAAATGTGTTTGAAATTAATAAGTCCCCTGGGGGCTTAATTGAGGATTTACGTTAAGTACGATGAGTATGATCGTCCGGATGAACGTAGTCCTGAATAGGACTGTTGGTCATGACATTGACTGACGGTTCGACAACCTATGCGGTTGTCATCTTCAGAGTTAAAGTAAGTTGTATCAGATTAGTTGATGGGATCAAACTCTGGTTATTGTCCTGATTGGTGAATTAAGCCGCGATGTCATCGGTCATCTGTCAGAAATGCCGTGAAGTTATTGGCTATTAAGACTCCTAATGTCATTGGTGCGTTTCGATCCTTCTGTTGTCACAGT